CAGAGATATATAAAGCAGCAGGTCCAGCAGTACTAGCAGCGTTCCACAGCATGATCATCAACATGTGGGAGGATGAAAACATACCACAGGACCTTTGCGATGCTACTGTTGTCTCTCTTTTCAAGAACAAAGGCAGCAAAACAGAATGTGGAAACTATAGAGGCATATCCCGCCTTTCTGTTGAAGGGAAGATCATCGCCCGCATCATCTTGAACCACCTAATAGCCAGTATTTCCGAGGCAAATCTACCTGAAAGTCAATGTGGTTTTTGACCTGGCCGGAGCACAGTCGACATGGTGTTTGCTGTCAGACAAATACAAGAAAAGTGCATTGAACAGAACATGCACCTGTATGCTGTCTTCATAGATCTGACAAAGGCATTTGATACCATCAACAGGGAAGCCCTTTGGACCATTCTAACACGACTTGGCTACACAAGAAAATTTGTCCAGATTATACGCTTTTTTCATGACAGCATGACAGGTGAAGTATTGTCTGATGGAGCCACATCAGCCCCCTTTAACATCACCAACAGCGTGAAACAAGGATGTGTTCTCACTCCTGTCCTATTTAATCTGTTCTTTGCATGTGTCCTTAACCATGCACTGAAAGATCTGGACCGAGGTATATACCTGAAATACCAGCACGATGGTTCACTTTTTGACCTCAGTCGCCTGAATGCAAAGAGTAAGACAGTGCAGAAACTCCTTCTTGAGGCACTCTTTGCTGACGATTGTGCCCTCATGGCTCACACTGAAAATGATCTTCAGCACATTGTCAACAAGTTTGTTGAGGCCTCGCAACTTTTCGGACTAACTATCAGCCTCAGAAAGACAGAAGTTCTCCCTCAACCTGCACCTGGATCAAATGCTTCTGTCCCGAGTATCTCCATCGACGGCACTCAGCTGAAAGTAGTGGAGAACTTTAAATATCTGGATAGTGTCATATCCAGTGATGGATCACTGGATAATGAGATCAATGCATGAATATCCAAAGCAAGCCAGGCACTTGGCTGTCTGTATGTCAAAGTTTTAAATCACCACAACATCCAGATGTTAACAAAACTGCTTGTGTACAGAGCTGTTGTTCTTTCATCTCTTTTGTATGGGTGCGAAACATGGACACTATATAGGTGTCACATCAAGCAGCTCAAAGCATCTCACATGCGCTGCCTCCGCAACATCATGAAGATCCGCTGGCAAGACAAAGTGCCCAATCTCGAGAGAGCCCAGATGACAAGCATCGAAATGATGATCATGAAGTCACAGCTACGTTGGACTGGTCATGTCAGCCGCAGGGATGCCAACAGAATCCCCGCCAGCTTCTGTATGGTGAGCTCTCCCAGGGCATCCGGCATATAGGTCATCCACGGAAACGTTACAA